ATTATTGTAGAATTTCGGAAATTAAGGAAACTAAATATTTGAAATCTTTTATATGAATCTAGCAGTTTAGAAAATTGAATATATTGTTCGATTACATTCTGCAAAATTTAGAATACGTATTCTGCTTTTCAAAATTCAGTAAATTGTTGATTTCTCTTCTATATACTCTAGCGTTTTTCTGATGAATTTTTTTTCTCTTCATGTGTTTAGAACTTGAACATTATCAAATGTATCTAACTAATGCATATGTGATTAAAGATTTGTAGTATAAAAATAGACATGTAAGTAAACGTAGAGTAAACACAATTAGCTATCTCTTAAAAGGATTAATGATTCAGAAGGGCCTTCATAAATAATTAGAAAATGTTTTAAAAGAAATCATTAGTGAAACTTCAAAAAATATGACTAAATTCTTAAGATTGTTATTATTGTTTTGTTAACAACAACATGTTCTTAAACAAACAGAAAACCAATTTGTGTTGGTTTTCTCGATGGTTCGGGAATAAATCAAAATTGCAAACTAATTTGTGTTAGTTTCTTAACGATTCATTACTGAATTAGAGTTTATGATTTACGGTTGCTGCTTGGTTCTTTTTGTCTTAAAAAAATATTCTCATTGATTAAAAAATTAAATCAAAAGAGATAAGGAAACCTCGAACTTGAGACATCAATCAAAAATTTCTAACTCATCAACCAACTGAACCAATAAATATTGTTGTAAATTACTCCCTAAAATATGATTAAATATAATATTTATGATTAAGGGCATAATAGGATTTTAACTAAATCTTTTATATATTAATTGGAGAGTGATTTTTTGAAAAAAAGTTATGTGTCTTTACCAAAATCATTTTCCCAATTTTAATGTGACATGGCATTGTCAAAAATATGACATGACATTCTCTCTAATTTAGTCTATTAGTCCTTAATTAAAATTAGCCCAATTTCAATAATAATTATCTATCTATCTATACTTATAAAAGAGAAGTCACTTTATTTATGTGTCGCAATGAGAGCGGTTTTAGGAGGCAAACAAAAAAAGCAACCGAAAACAAAAAAAAACAAAATCGGAAAAATAAAATAAGTTTTTTGTATGGGCCAAAAACAATAATTCGTTTATTAGACTTGGTAATAATAGAGGTCCATACTTTATTAAACAACAATCTTCTATAATTATCAATTTTGTAGACCATAATTATCTTCAATAATTAAGAAACATTCCATAATTATCTTACAAATATTATTATGTTTAGATATTAGGAAATTATTTTCTGTGTATATTTTGTTGTTCATTGTCGTAATAGAATATTCATTTATATCTATACTATTATTGAATTTATGTTAATCTTCCATGTTTATCTCATGGTTAAAACCCTAAATTTTTGGCTATATATATCAATTTTTCTTCCCACCTCATTGCATGCGTAATCTCCCTTTGTAACATTTGTCGTAGATGCTTATATATATAGATACATGTGTTTCCTCTTTCAATTTCATGTCATGGTTTTACGTATGATATTTATTCAAGGTTTGATKTGTTTGTTGCTTTCTAACCTAACTTATAATACAATTTTTGTTTGTTATGGTTTTTGACAATTTTTTATTCTGTTTTCTTATTTTGCAGGTTTACGGTGGTAAATTATGGGGGTTT